TGTTGTGTTTTGTTTTCCTCCTCTCCCGAGCTTGGAATAAAACCCTAATTTTTATGATGCATGTTCCAATGTACCCAGTGATAATGAGCCCTTAAATATGAAACCTGATTAGTTACTACTGGTCATTCCACCTCTGCATCATCTCTTAAGAAGCCTGAGAATCCTCCATGTCAAAAGGGAAAACTGCATCAGTGAGTTACCAGGAATTCACAGGAATTCTGCAGCACTGACGTTCCATTCTAAAGGTGGCCATACACTCTACAACCATCGCAAGACTTTAGTCTTGCGATGGTTGTAAAGGGATTTAAAAAAACGTACGATCTGCCTATCTTGGACAGGCAGATCGCACTCTCGATCATCGCAAGCCCGCCCCCCTGAGGGGCGGGCTTCCGATGACCGCAATGCTGAACGGGCAGTGTGCGCGTGCGCACACCAGCCCGTTCAGCATTTATCTTCCGAGCACCGTTCTAACCAGCCGAGAATTGTACGATTCCCGGCTGGTTTTCGAACATGCTGGTTCGACAGAAGACATGCGGCCGTACAGTAGAAACGGTCGCACGTCTCCGTTCACACTGCTCGATTATCGTACGAAAAACCGATCGCATATGATTATCGTACGATAATCGTGCAGTGTATGGGCACCTTAAGAGGGATCTCAAGAGAAGTGTTAATTAATTGGTTGTCTAATTAGTGGCTTACAATTCAGTGTCTGAGGAAATGTTCTATTTCGAGTTGAGGGAACAACCTCTTCTGGGCTGAACTCGGCAGCTGCATAATAATTTATTTAATTTAAAAAAAAAGTACAAAGAGCACTGGTGATGCCCAGACAGTGGAAGCTGATCTCTGGTTCCATCATTTCCCTTCACTCGGACCTTGTTGAAGACCCAGAACCTTTACTGGCTGCAGGAGGTGATCAGTGAAAAAGAACTCGTCAACTATGCCTGCTGAGGCCACAAAAGAGCTTCAGAATGGCACAGTAGGGTGACATGAACCTTTTTGAATTAATGGAATACAAGGTTGCCTTCGGAAGGGACACAACCATGGGGAAGGAGAAGCAGTGAAAGGGTTCAAACAAAGGTTGCTAGCTTATGTGCCTGGTCTGGCTTTCAGATACATTTAGCATCCATTTAAACTACTGCATTACCGTAACATGCAACAAAACACAACTATCTGTGTGCCGTGTTCGAAGTAGTACTGCATGAAAGCAGCACAAAGACTGGACTGCCTTAACTCAAGTACATTAACACATGAAATACCCCACATTAATCGCACATGAGGTAATGCAACACAGAAGTCTGATTATGCTCCTGTTATGGTGGCCATGCACACAACGATCTGATCCAATTATTCCAGAACCAGACAATGTGATCAAACCAATTAATCTTCAAAAAGACATTAACTGTGTTATCAATCAATTTAGATCTATCCTGACTGATTCCATCAAAATTATTATAATCGCTCCTGCTGAAAAATCAGAAGGCAAAAAAGTGGGAAAAGCGATTTGGTCATTATATGTATGGCACCTTGAGTGATGTTTTCATGAGCGTCTGTTAATTTAGAAGCTTGTCCCATAGGATCGACACTGGTCGATCGGGGCTTAACCATTCTTTCCAATCTTGTTTTGGATCAATTTCCATTATGTTCACATCTTATGATTTCATTTCCACATTGGTGGTTAATTGATTGTCCAATCATAACTCATCTTGTAGTCGGCTTTTATTCTCATCCTGGCATTTATTCTAAAGCACCTGGTTACCCAAATAGCTAAATCCTCGTAGATGCCAATAATTTAATGGCCCTCAAAACTGTAGACCAAGCGTTCCCTGGTTCCGAGAACCATCCCGTGTCTCCCAGAAATGAAGGGTCTACAACACACACACAATCATTCAGCGAGAGGCCACGTCTGCCCATGATGGATGATCTGAAATGCACATTAAACTAAACCTGTCATTAGAGAAATACAGTTCCTACTACTTCCTTGGCTAGCATTCTCATTATGTGGCTCTTCTACTTCTTTCCTGTGAGGCACTGAACAGGAACAAGCATACAACCAGAAAAATCCGACCTTAAGCTGCATGTTTGTTCTGGGCCAGTGACTTCCTAAGCAATGAAGCCATAGGATAAGAATGACAGCTAGAGAACAAGAAACGAGAACGAGGCTCCCACAATTCTGTCAAAACAAGTTAAGAAAAAAATCTATTTTTGTTTTGGACTGAGTGGACCTCACTTGGGTTTTTATTGTTTTTTGTGGGGCAGTGGGAAGCAAAAGGAACTTTCCCCAGCGGGGACAAAGACGTTAACAAAAAAAATAATAATCTAACAGAGGATCAAACCCATACCCAGTCTGGGGTCACAAATCTGTGCAGGACACAGTGACATCACAAGTCTAAACTAAAGAGAAATGTTTATTTAGAATGTGCCTTTAAAAGTGGAAATTGAAGTATATATCTGAATAGGGCTGCAACAACTAATCGACTAAATCGATTGAAAAAGTTGTCAACGTTTTCAATCGATTAATCGGCTTCCGATTAGTTGGCCCTGTTCACGGCTCCACACACGCTGCGCGCCGCACCTCCTACCCGATCTCAGAAGAAATTGTAATATACAGCACAATGCCCAATGTCCCATCAGCTATAGAGGAATACAAATATATTATACAGCACAATGTCCCATCAGCTATAGAGGAATACAAATCCCAGCAATAATACATTATACACTGTATGTATAATGTATTGCTGGGATTTGTTGTATTCCTATATAGCTGGTGGTATTCTGCATTGCGCTGTATAGAGGACTACAAATCCCAGCAATAATACATTATACAGCGAAATGCGGAATACCAACAGCTATAGGAGGCGTACAAAACCCAGCAATAGTAAATTATACAGCGCAATGCAGAATATCACCAGCTATAATGTACTATTGCTGGGATTTGTTGTACTCCTCTATAGCTGGTGGTATTCTGCATTGTGCGGTATAATGTACTATTGCTGGGTTTTGTAGTCCTCTATAGCCGGTGCCATTCTGCATTCATTGCTGTATAATTTTACACTTTCCTTTTCACTATATTGCACACCACACTATTTTTTTCCACCGCTCCAAGCTTGCTCCTGTGATGGACTACAATCTCAATACAAACTAGTAGTCCCATAACTGGAGGCATTTTTTTTAATGTATTTTATTTTTTATCCGATTAATCTGCAGCTCAGATGCATTGGCATTTACTATACATGTGCATTGGGCTGGCATTCTAAATGAACGTCACTGCAATGGATTGAACACAGTACCATACATTAACATGCATTGCAGTAAACTGCATGGTATGTACACCTAGCCAAACTAAGACAACCTTCTGAAACATTCAAATGCATCATTGCTGAAGGTAAAGAGGTTCTTCTATGGAGTGCAATTGAAGTTCATTTTATATTAGGCAGTTCATCATAACAGCAATATACTTCCATTAGTGACTAAACAATGTAATACAAGACGCTAGTGGAGCTGACTGCCATATTTTGTCTTCCTGCTACCAGGAACTCTATTATGCCCGGGAGTCCAGTTATAAGTCATAATCATGTGGTGAGTGCAGCCGCAAAAGCACTGCAGGGGCCATTCTGTAATTATTTCAACATGTTCTTTACCTTCTTCAAGTCCAGGAATATTTTACCCAATATGCAAAGCTACTTGACCGATTTAAAGCAGCACTCCAGTCAAATATCACCAATTTTTTTTTTTTTTTTAAGTAGAACTCCAGGAAAACAACTAAATGCACAGTTGATGTGTGTATATGGGAGCTGTTTGACCTGCCAAAGTATTTATAGTTGCTGCCCTGTCAGTCGTGAGAATGTACACAACCCTGGCAGACTGCAGAGCAATGCTGGTGAGCACACATTTCTCTAAAGCAATTAAGTCACCTCCCTGCCCCCTGCCTGTGACTGGACAGTAAAGGAGCAGCAGTAAACTAACAAGTTCATCAATCTGCTTTCCCCTTCTGTCTGAATGTTCCTTGTCAGTATGTTTGCATGAAGATAATTGGCTTCTATGAAGGAATACCCAAGAGAACTACGATGTTCAAAGAAAAAAATCAGACTGGAATTTGCCAAAATGCATATTGACAATCTACATTGCCTCTGGGAGAATGTTCTTTTGACATACGAGACAAAACTGGAACTTTTTGGAAAAAATCCCATTAGATCTATGTTCACCCAAAAAAAAAATTAAGCTTTCAGAAGGGGGAACACTGTACCGACTTTGAAACATGGAGAAGGCTCCGTCATATTTTAGGGCTGCTTTGCTGAATCTGGCATGGGATCATAAATCTGTGCAGGACACAATGACATCACAAGCCTATCAAGGAATACTGGAGCAAAAAACTTTCTGCCCAGTGTTAGAAAGCTCTGTCTCAGTCGCCCGCCATGCGTCCTCAAAACAGCAGCAAAAAGCACCCAAGAATGGCAAAGAACAAAACACTGGACTTTTCTGAAGTGACCGTCTATAAGCCCTGATCTTAATTCTGTTGAACATCTATGGAGCGAGCTGAAAGAAGCACTCTGGAGAATGCACCCTTCAACCCTAAGACAACTGGAGCAGTTTGCTCAAGAAGAGTGGTCCAAACTAACTGTTGGCAGGTGAAAAAGTCTTAAGAGCCACAGAAATAATTTGTTAGCAGTGATTGCAATATAGCATATTAGGTTAAGGGTCCCATCATTTCTGTCTATGCCATTTTCATTTGTTTTATCATTTAACATTTTTTGTTGAAAAAAAAAAAAAAAAAAAAAAAAGGAAAAAGCAAAGCCTGATTTTCATTAAATATGGAATAAGCAATGGTGATGCCGATTTCTTGTTAGTTTCAAGTTACTTCAAAAAACAATTGGTTTTTTTTCATGGAGTACCATAATAATAGCATTTTTGGGTCTTACCAGCAGACCAGAGTGGCAATGATCACACACCACGCAGTACAGCAACAGGAGTACCATAATAATAATAGTATTTTTGGGTCTTACCTGCAGACCAGAGTGGCAATGATCACACACCACGCAGTACAGCAACAGTCTGCATTAGTGTTCTCTTCTGTTTTCCGATGACGGCAGCAGAACCAGAAGGAATAGAAGAGCAGGAAGAGGAGATCTACAGCCAGGCAAGCGAGTGCAACACAGCTCAGGAGCATCAGAGACTGCAAAAGAAAAACAAAACCATATTATTATTATTATTATACAGGATTTTTTTTAAATACTCACTTCAGACTCTTAACATCCTAAATACTTACATAATATATATCTCGATATATCTCGATATAGATATCTCCCAGTATGCATAGCTTCTCTTGATGAGAGCTGACCTGTGCACCTCTTGCAAGCTCTCTCCATCATGACCACCTTCATGAGGAACAGAACATTCTGCTCCTGGAGTTCTTTTACGGGTTGAATAAAGTGACAGTTTACTTGGAGAACTTAAAAGAGACCCTTTCAACAACTGAAAAAAATTGCAAGTAAAACCACAGTAAAATCGAGTATTTTAACTGTTTACTGTAAACAATTCTCTCTCGACTTGCAATGTGCCTGAACTTGCTCGAAAACTTGTTTAAAGCGTCTTTAAAATCAATGTTAAAAAATTCACACGGATCATCAAATGCAACAGTGTAACCAACCATCTATAGCATTTGTTGGTGCCAAATACAGTGGTCACATGACATGTGGAACTTGCTCCCCACACTGTGAGGGGATGGTAAAACGAGCATGAAGTCTCTGACAAAGCCTGCATACGTCATGCTTGGAGTGAAGTGTGTTGTCCTGTGGCCTCACAGAGCAGTCATGCGTTAAGGAAACACATTATTACATGATGCGGAGAGTACGGGAGTGGGAGCATATGCCATTCAACATGCTGGAGCCCGATAGAAAATAGTCACATCCGGCTGCTTCCAGGAAGTGCATGGCTTCTTCTCAGTAAACTTGTAGAGCATGCACGCTAAGGGTGGCAACGCATCAGCCAGAGGATGGGCTTCTATAATCATTGCCACTAACAATAAGGAATTCAAGTCAATGCAGAAGGCAGGATCAACCAAGTATTTACTTATCTTGACAGGTTGAATGATGGAATGCTTCTGCAACAAGGCACTGAACATACTTTTAAAAACAAAAGCAAACACATTAATATGGGAACCAGCCATTAATTCGGGAGCCAGTCCAGGAAATTCCAAAATTACAGGAGGTGATGACATCATGGGTCCTTATACCGCCAGAGCCGAGAGGAGCCTGAGGGGACCGGTTTAGCAGTCAGGCACGACCGAAGATCAGATAAGTATTTTATTTTTTTCCCCCCTAGACAAAACGCACGGTTAACCCTTGCAGTGCAGAAATAGCCCCACTGCAAGGGTTCGTTTTTGAAAATTCTGGAACCCTGCTTTAAGGTCACATGACAGTTCGCACAAGAGTTAATTGAAAAAAAGCTTCAGAAACAAAAGGACTATTTTCTGGAGTGGGTCATGTACTGATAATTTCAAACAGGTTATAGTGACTGGCAGCACACTGAAACCATTCATGTACAAAACAATGCACAGTAACGTTAAAGAAGAAAATAAAACAACACACAAGTGATTAGGGCCAAGAAGGCACCTAAAAATAAAGAACCACGATACACAGGAAACTAACAGGATCTCTACAGCAAAAAATTGGCAAGTGGCCCTTACAGAACGAGAAGTCAAATAGCAATTTCCATGTCAGAAATCAATAGCAGCCTCCATGAGCCTCCTAGGAAAGGTTTCCTTCAAGAAAACACACATTTTTACCCAGCTTTCTGCACAGCTGGGAAAGTGTTAAGATCTGTCGAGTGGGGTATTGAGAAGAGTGGGTGGAATTTATTATCCAACTACACTCCGCTTCTTACTAAAAGCAAGCACGATAGCACCTTGAACGCTTTCTGTAGGCAGAGCTGGGAACGCCTACGTACTGCCACACTGTAACATGAAGAGATTAGCACATGCCAAAAACACTGACTCACAGGCAGTTACTGGGCCCCTCATGGCCATTCCCACCACTGTGTTATTACACAGCTATTATAAATACTCACTAGAACCAGCGTTCAAGGACAGTCGCAGGAATCCGCTAACAAAGTGTTACAAAACCACATGAAAGGCCACTATGTTTACAAGGAGAATGTAGAACACCGACAGCCTACAGCTCTGAAAATAAATACTTGAACATACATGCCCCATATGTCCTACACAAACAAATTTAGTAGGCCTGCGTGATGAGCAGGGTCTATGCTGTGGTCCAAGGACATCTTTGGTCAAGTTTTTGCCAGATAGCCACCAGCATTATGTGGCGTCTATTCAAGAGACAACCTTACCTGTTGAATACTTGCAATTCCACCCCGACATTCATTTTCTCTAACCAGCTAACCTAAATACATATATTAGCTGGTGTTATTTTTAAATGGCCCTGAATCTAAAATGAATTTCTGCAAGTGAGTTAAACGGATTTTATGGAGGTTTCCTGGATGAAAATGCAGATTAATGCTTGATTTAGAATCTCTAAGTCACTTTAAATTTTACATCCTTGAAGTAAGCCGGTTTTTACAAGGTTCAGGCTGTTGAGGCGCCTGGTTAAAACAGGAATGCCAAGTGGAAGTTCAGACTTTTCAGACTTACTAGTCGCATGCTTGTTTTAGATCACTGGTTTACTAGGTAGTTACGTCAGATTATGGGGACACTCCTATAGCGAGAACCCTTCAATTACTGGGCAGCAATGGCACCTTTGCAGATTCCTATCCTCTCAGATTGACCCTAAACAAAGCTGGAGGCCACTTCACCACACCCCACCATTACCCCCCAACTGCCACCAAATCAGTTATACTTCAAGTAGAGACGTACAAGTGCAGCTTAATTTTGGTAATCCATTGGAAAGCAATTCAATTTCAAAAGGTTGTTTGAAAGAAAAGTTGAGCAGTGGCAAGTATTGCTTACAAAATTATTCTAAGCAACAAAACTTTTTTGGGTCAGCAGAAGCCCCGGGGTAGACCTAATTTACAAGAGCGGCAGGGGACCATAAAACCAGACAGTTGATCTGCACCCCCCAACCCCTGGTCGCCTGCTACCACCATGGATGCCTTTTCAGAAGGCATCCATGGTGGTAGCTGCCCATGTGGACGAGGATTTCGAACAAGAGCCTGGTTTTATAAAAGGTTACCTAAAGTTGTTGCTCTTAAAGTGACACTGAACTCCGGGTACTTGAATGCATTTTTAAGATTTAAATCCTAACTATTAACAAAAATGCATCTTATTTGTGCATCATTTATCTGTAGATCCTCAAATCATCTCTAAATCCGTTCCGACAAAGTCCTTCCTTCTGGAGTGGTGGCTACTTTTGTTCCCTATGCTCACTGTGCATGTTGTAAAGTAGCCACCACTCCAAGCTCACTCCTGTGATGAACTACAATGTTACATTTAGTTAGCCAATTTGTAATAAGATTGTAGTCCATCACAGGTGCAAACTTTTGTTCCCCATGGCCTCGTCTGTGTTGTAAAGAAGCCACCATTACAAGCTCACTCCCATGATGGACTACAATCTCAATACAGTGTAAATTAAATGGGAGACTGTAGTCCATAAATTAAATGGGAGACTGAGGATCTACAGCTGAGTGATACACAAATAAGATACATTTTTGTTAAAAGGTAAAAGGTACTTGAATGCATTTTTAAGATTTAACTCCTGAGTTTAGTGTCACTTTAACCAACAGCTAATTATTGCATTTGCTTTTCCCATCTGACCCAAGAATAAAATTAAAAAAGGTAGAACGGAAATGTTGCACAAGACAATGGCATCACTTAGCCAATCAGCCGGCCTCATCTAAGTGCTTCCAATATGGACAATTTTCCTTCCAGGTGCTTAGATAAATGAGCGCTCATCGCTGTAATGATTCAGCGTATATAGACTGGCTCTGAAGAGTTGCATTCTTTACTGGTGATAGATCTAGCCTGATTCACATTAACATAATTGAAGTACAGCTGATGTAAAACATATCCTGAACGCTAAAAAAACTTACCTAAAAAGAGTTTGAGATCAAAACACAAGGCCTTTTCCCAGGCGAGCACATCTGGATTACAAGTGAACAGTAAAGTGAATGATTGGCTAAATATTTACGCTCCACGAGTCTTCATATTAACCTGCACCGGTTATAAAAACCGTAATGAATTATTTTACAATTATTTATACTAAGCTCATAATATGCGAGTAATGAAAGGCAGAAGTCTGTTTGCCGAATGCAGCCTCGGAAAAACCCATGTACAGGATATAAATATATATTCCCAGGGCCTTACAGTGCGCCTAAACCCCTCCACAAATGATATATATTGCATGCCTTCTTTACATTTATTTTTATCCCGCCAGTAATGTATTTCCTGTCCTAGGATGACAACGCTCAATCACAGTGCTGTATTTATGAAAGAGCAGCGTAGTCACTCTAGGCAGGAAGTGCGTTAGGACTACCTAAACTTGAATAAAGAAGTCACCAGCATGAAAGTTTCCAAATCAGTGCTATTTTATATCTATTTTATTGATAGATGTCACTCAAAATGACAAGCGCCTTAGGGGCCACGCAGGGTCCCCTTCATTAGGCTCAGAGATCTGCATGGCGCCGAAAGAGCTTGTCATTTGAGTGACATCAATAACATTGGTTTGCACCGATTTGGAAACTTTCGTGCTGGTGACATCTTTATTCAAGTTTCATTGTGGGCCGCGCCATTTGCGCCTGTTATTCTTTGGGATATGCAGTAAAGAGGGTTGCAAGATATATGGACATTAGGACTACAGAACTCCCCGTCTCATCTCCACAACATAAGCAGCAAGTGTTCTGTAGTTTACAAAGAAAACTGGGCAGAGCTGATATTGTTTAAAATAACAATGCAGAGCAGACATGACAACACTGGACTTCCGGCAGGACCAACTGGTTTGTTTTTCATACTTCTGGAACATAACATTGAAAGTGGAAAATCCCATTGAAAGTATTTTGCTGTAACAGGCTAAAAGGAAGCAAATAAGAAAAGTTCACTGTATTCACATACATTTTAAAAGAAACTGGTTTGAGACAGTTTTTGTTTAATTTGATCAGCAGGATTCCAGAGCAGTTTATTAACGCAAAGTATTTTTTCCCCTTTAAAAAGTAAGCAAATTACTTATA